GAAAGGCCGTCAGCAAATGAAAATTCCCCAGGGAGTTGGCGCATGTTTCTTGTTGCTGCCACTGTGCCGCACTGCTGTTTGTTGTTGTTGCTTTTGCTGTTGCTGCTGCCTCGTCGCTTGGGATCCCATGGGATTGGCCGGAGAGCGCCCGTTGCCGACTCCCCCGAGAAATACATGGCAATGGGTTTTCTGTGTTTTGTGCTTTTTCCCGCGCCGCACACACACACGAGCAACAGCGAGAGAGAGCGAGAGGGCGAGCGGGCGAGCGGGCGAGTGAGTGAGAGAGCAGAAAAAGAGCAAAGCCAAAGTTCGCTTTTTTTATACTTTGGGGAAATTCTCATGCCTCAGCATGAGCATATCTCTCGCTCTCGCTCTCTGTGCCGTCTCTGTGTGTGTGTGTGCGCCAGCTGTCTTTGGGGGCTTCGTGCAGACCAGACCAGACCAGCATACCCTTCCCCACACCCACACCCACACCCACTCCATGCCAGCCCCAATCGCCCTTGCCGCATGCACATGTGTGCATTGGATTTATTGTCAATTTTATTTGTTATCATTGTTGTTGCCTCTCACTGCTCTGCTCTGCTCTGTTCTGTTCTGCTGTTTCTGCCGCATCTCTGCTGTTATTTACACTGACACAATTTGAAATTGTATTAAAAATTAACGGCACTTTGGTTGCCTTGACTGGGCTGGGCGGCGCTCGGCTGCACTAGGAAGGAGCAGGAGCAGGAGTAGGAGTAGGAGCAGGAGCAGCAAATGGAACCCCCGACAACCAGATCACAAAAATGAATGCCCAAACTGCAAGCTGCGTTTTGGCCAAGGAACTTTTTATGCCCCTCTGCAGTGAAGGGTATCTGTCGTGGGGTGTATAGATTCAGTTGTGCAGCTTGTAGCCAGTACCGGAAAAGTCTCTTCGGTAATGAATTATAAGTGCAAAAATATAAACATAAATTATATAATTAAGCGGACAAAGAGCATCCTCCAGTCGTTGGGCACTCCCAATATCCATCCATTTACTTGTTGGTTCACCAGAACACTCAATGTTTCAACCTCATTCTGGGGTTTGTTTGGGTTTTCATGGTCTCCGAGCAGGGCCCCAGTCCCCGCCACTCTCTCTCTCCTACAAAGCCACCCCTCTGGGGGCCGGGCCCCACTGCCATGTCTGTCCATCTCTCTTGCACTCGCCGGCTCTCTATCACTGACAGTTAGGTGTGTGGGTCCCCAGGGATTGGCCAATGCCTGCAAGCTGCAGCATGGTCGGTCGGAGAGAGAGAGAGAGAGAGAGAGCTGGGGGCAGGAGCATGAGTTGGAGCTTCAGCTGGAGCAGAAGCACCGGACGGGACGGGACGGGACGGGACGGGTCGGTGGCTCATCGCAGGCGGAGGCCATTTGCATTTGTCACATTTTGTGGTCCCGCGAGCAAAGTTTGGCAGAGTAATGCTGTGTCCTGTGCTGTGTTCACTCCACCCCCACTCTTCCTGTATCCGCCCCTGTCCATGTGTCTCCTAGGGTTATCAAAGCAAATCAATCAGATGCACACACAAACACACGCCGCCTGGCCACCCCACATGGAGACACACGGATACACATGGATACACGGAACATGGGCCACAGGACACGGAGTCGATGTCAGGCTTGGGTCACTGGGGAGCAACTGACCAACCAATTGGGTTTGCCCAACTTACGTTTGAGACAGGCGCGCGGCTTGGCCTGTTTGCGTCGGGACATGGCCAGGATGAAGGCCTCTCTGGAGGATTAACGTTAGCACTATGCAAGTCACTGGTCAACACACAATTTCCCTATCCTATATATCGGTATGTAGTTCCGGTATATTTGTATAGTCTCTGTTCGTCGGCCGATTTCGTTTCGCGCCAAACACGTGTCCACTTGAGGTTTGTTTTGGTTCTCGATGGGAATCCTGGCAAGCGCTTCGGATATCCTTGCGCCTTCAGCGTCGGCAACTGACTGAATGGTGTCCGCCGTCTTGGCCCACAACGTCGCCTGGCCTGGCCTGGCCTGGCTCTCTCTGGCATAACATCACATCCAGCAACACACAACCGAAACAGAAACAGAAGCAGAAGCTCTTAAAACAAAATGGAATTCGCACAGAGCAGACGCAGTGAGAGAGCGAGAGAAAACAGAAGAGAAGCGACGGTGAGCGCGCCACAGGGAGAGGAACCGGGAGAGGTAGATGCCAACAACAGCCACCCAAGCACTCCCATTCCATTCCATTCATCCATCCATTCCATCCATCCATCCTGCTATCCAGAGCTACCAGAGCTAGCCTGCCAAAGTGAAGCGAACCTTTTCCCCAGAGGGTTGCTGTTGCTTCAGTTCCATCCCCTAGAGACTTGTGCCAGCGAGTCTGGGGCGCGCACCAATCGTGACGTTTCTGGGTGCCGCATTGCTCTGCCACAGCCACACGGAACCTCATGCTGGCCGGGCACAGTAGGCGACGCCGCCACCACCACGTTCCTGTTCGGCTGTTGCAATTATAAAGTCAAGTCAATTATTTTATAGCTACCGCTGTCGCTGTCGCTGTCGCTGCCGCAGCGGCTGCCTGGCCCTACTTCAACTTTCGCACGTGCGTATGGGGGGTCCAAGTGCAAGGGGCGCGATCTTATTGAGCAAGTCCCAAGGTGCCTCCCGAATTGCAATTTCCACTGCCAGGTTTCTCAGCAGCGGGATAACATGCACACACGTAGCACGCAAGCAACTCCTTGGTGGGCCGTGAGAAACGTCGGAGAGTCGAAGTGAGAGCCGAAGGAGCACGAAATGCTCTGGCAGCGGGTGACGACATTGAAGGATGGATGGATGGAATGGATCTTTTGTTGTGATTTCCACTCGACTTTTGAGAGTGCCGCACGCATGGGTTACGACATTTCGATGAAGTTCTGATAACTGGACTCTGATGGCTAACCAAATGAAGTCAATATGAGAATATAGTTGAAGACAGATTCCTAAAGTACTTAAATATATATAAGTAAGCTCCTTGGAGCCAAAGACTGGAATACGGAAAGCTGTAGAACAAATCGGTAATTATTGGTTGATAATCATACAAAAATTTAAATAAACGTTGACTTTTGATTTAATTTCCACATGGGAATACATCAATTCTACATTTCTCAGCGGCGACATCTGACGGAGATTTTTTACCCATGCTGCAAACACCATAGCTAGGCGGTTTCCGAAATTCAACGACAGATGGCGTCACTGCACGTCCAGTTGGATATTTTAGATGTAGTTCGAAAAGAAAATAAAATAAAGAAAAAAAGAAGAAAAGAAAATAAAATAAAGAAAAAAAGAAGAAAAAACAGAAAATACTTAGTAAGTTTCCCACTTTAAGGATTAAAAGATTAATATAAAATATATTTTAATATGAAATTTTAGCTATAAAAAAACGGAATAGCGACATATCTCCGGGCGACATAGATGTATGTATGTATATCCTGACAGGCCCTAACAACATATCTCCGGCCAGAATTTAGCGACATTTCTCCTGCTGAAAAATGTATGGCAGCAGATATGTTGCCCGGAGATACATATGTCGTTACCCCTAAAAAAAACCCATCCCTAAATAATTTTCCGAAAACGGAAAAAACACAATTTAATCGAAGATTTGTTTCTATTCGAAAGGCTTGGATTGCTGATTTGGATTTTGGGGTTCCTTGGATTACAATAAACTTTGGTCTTCCGGTTAGGCTGGATCTCGATTTCGATCCACTGGCACCCTGGCAACTTCCTTGCCAGATTTGGTCCCGATATGGAAATTTGCTACGCATATGCCAACAAAAACGAATGAGGAGGATGCGTTCGTTCCGCTGCTCGTTCAGCGCCCATCGACCATTCATCAATTCATTCATGAACACAGTCGAGGGCTAGTGAGTGGAGTGTTTTACTCCTTTGTTTACTACAGACCCAAGACGCGTAGTACGAGTAAAAGTAGCGGCAGAACGCGGCAGTGGTAGCGGCAGCGTAACCCAGTCCCCCGAAATCAAGGTGGAGGCGCAAAGGCGAAGAAGGTAAAATCGAGAGAAAAGGAAGAAAACATCTGTCGCCGGGCCAGCATAAAGCAACAATCCGGTTGCAAGCTGCAACATTGGCTCAAAAACGATCCAGCAAAGAGAACATATGATTGAGTTGCCCAAAAACAAAAACAACAAAAAAAAAAGAGAAAAGATGAGAAACAAAAAACCAAAACGCACCTTTCGTACGAGTATTTTGAGGCAGCAGCAAGCAAGCAGCTGCCGCCTGTTGTCGCTGTCGGTGCATGGATGAGCCGCAGTCGCAGGGACAGACAGACAGACAGACAGACAGCCTGTTGATGAGCCCACAATGCACACATGCTCCATGCCACACGGTGTTGCCGTGTCTTCTTCCATAATGATAAGTCCCAAGTTGAGGAAGCCGGCCCGACACATTAAATTTGGAGTATTGTCGCTGGGCAGCAGCTGCAGCGTGGGGCTCAGGAAGAGGTACCGGTTCCCCCGCCCCGCCGAATCTGAAGAGGTAACTCGAGTGGCAAAAGTTCAGATAGGTCAAGTCAGCATGGGCGGGGGAGTGTCAAAATATTTGCAGATCGATAACGATTCGCTCCTAATTCCGACATTTAACTAGATATTTATTTTAGAAAATACTCCCCACTTGTAGCAAAAATTAACATAGTTAATCTGTAACTAAGTTGAAGTAAAATTAGTGTCCAGCTTGTATTCATTTAATTTCGTACTGCGAATACGTCAATGGCATTGGCATTTCTCTCAGTATCTCTCAGTGTTCGCATGCTGCCCAGAAACACACAGACTCAGAAGCACTCCCAAGGTATATACGGCAGCCAAACCCTACCCTACCTTTCTGTTGAGATACCTTTAAAGCAAAAAAGGAACGGAACGAACACAGCAAAGAGGAAAACGAAAACCGAAGGCAAACGTGCCACATCGGGCGCGTTCGTGCCACATTCAAAATTTGTGCGTGGAACCCAAAGGACGTTCTGCTCCGTCTCTACGTTCGTCTCGCTCTCTCGTCTCGCCTCGTCTCGTGTCTCTCTCTCTCTCTCTCTCTGCGTTGCGGTGGTATACGAATTTTTTGTTTGCCTCGTTTCGCGCCACCCAACCCCCTAGTGGACACAGTTACAGTTACAGTTACGTTGGGCAACTACGGTTACGGCTCGAGTTTCCGTTACCGTTAGTTCTGCAGTGACGTCAAAGGCCGACGAGTGTCCGTATCCGGGAAGTATCGAGGAAGTTGCAGAAGTCGCCAAAATGTCTGCCAACAACCATCCCCAAGTGGAGCCAGCCGCCGCAGTGGCCGCCGCCCAGAAATCCGCCTCCTCGGAATACCTGAAGCGCACCTGCCTCATCTGTGGCTGCCACACGAACCAGACCATCAATATCTACGAGCCACGCTCCGGCCCGAACATTGTCCAGTTGATCCAGGCCAAATTCAAGTTTCAGGTATGGATTTTCCCCCCCCCCCCCCTTACATCTAACAAAAATCGATAGTAGTAGCTGCTCGTCAGATGAGTGAGTCATCGTCTTGCAACAACAACAGCAACAGCAGCAACGACAACAACAACACCGTTACAACGTCCTTCGCAAAAAGTTCTGTTCTCTGGCTCTTGTGTCCGTGTCTCGTGTCGTGTGTGTGTGTGTGTGCCGGAGAGCATTTGCATGTGTGTGCGGGTTTTTGGGTTAAAAGGGGATGAACTCCGCCAGAGGCTCAGCAGCAAAGGGTGGCCAGGCGGGCAGGACAGGCCGCGTCGAGTCGACAGGTAAAGGTAGCAGCTCCCACAGCATCCAAGCGCTCTCCAAAAGTTTTCCCGCTCTCTGAGAGCGCATATCCATATCCTGTCTGGGAGCAGTAGCAGCAGCAGCTGGTGCATTATTTCCCCTCTGGTAATTGGACACTTTGCATATGCCGCCACTTAGTTCGATCCGATGCCTGTCTGTTCCCATGCTCATAATTCCCAACATCTTGTTCTAATGTGCATTGGGAATGAAAAGTGGACGATCCTTGACCCGATCCTTGGTTTGTTTTCTGTGGAAATGAGTTTCGGGTATCGGATTACACACACAGACACTCTCCTACCTGTTTCCGAACCTGCTCAAGGGCTGGGGGCAGTGGCAGATGCACCACAATGCGTGCACTTCCCAGTGGGAAAAGGAGGAAGGAGCAGCAGAAGGAGCATTGATTGCTCCAATTTCTGCGGGCAGTGAACGAACCTTCCCCAGACGGGACCATGCCAGACCCAGACCCAGACCCTTTCCACTCCAACGGCAGCTGTATTTGCGACTCAAAACTCAAAACTCAACCTCAACACATCAGGGTTCCCCGCTGCCCTGCTTCTCTGCTCCCCTGCTGCTGCTGCTTTATCGCTTCACTCTCTTTGGGTTCTGTGTGTTTTGTGTTATTTTCGCATATCAGCCAGCTATTGAATACCTGAGGCTGTGTCTGGGTTTTATATTGTGTGCACTTCAACCAAAAATTACCGACCCGACTGCTTTTGGGTGTTAGAGGGAAGGAACTATGTACACACATACGTATACGTGCCACGGTGGTGGTAATTGTGTCCTCGGAACAATGCCAAAAAAAACCTGAAAGGGATTCCGGTCCCTAAAATGGCGCAAATCCAAACAAAAGTTCTTGGGCTATCCCTAGCCCTTCCATCCGTCCATCCCCTGGAACAAACAACTTCAAAGACATATTTTTTGGATTTCCCAGCAAGAAGCCCTAAAAAGGAGCCTCAGCAGAGTGCCCGAAAGAAAACAAAGCCCAAACTAGTCTTGTCTACAATTTGAAGGTCTTCTGGGTCTTTGGCTACTCTGCTATTTCGGGGGAAACATATTTTCTACGGTTTCATATCATTCCCATATCACAAAGGAATAGAATGCTTGTAAATGGGTCAGAAGGGCATTGACAGCTACAGGAATAACAGAGGAAGGGTATTTTTGAAGTGGCTGCTAAAAGATTGAAGTGGGAATCCCATCAAAATATTAAATATCAAATTATTAATAGAAATCCTGCAGTGGGAATTACTGATCAATGATCATAGGAGTAACTATCAAATTTCGACTGCTCACAGAAGCTCCCTTTTTGTTTGTCACCCCTTAAAAACCTAAACGCTAAAAACCGTTAAACACACCCTGTGGCTTTGCCCTCGAGGATCGTTATTGCGAAAGCATACACCAACACCACCACCACCTGCCGCGATCGTAGCGTGGCAACCAGAACAGAACTCCACCCGCACCCTCGTAGGCCGCTTGAATTCAGGGAAACCCAATTGAGCCGCTGCCCAGAGTGTGCTGTGCTGTGCTGTGCTGGGACAATGCTCGTCAAGCCCTCAATGACAGTGCCATAAAGTTCAGTTGCAATCAGTTATCTGCCTGCTCCTTACCGCTAAGCCTCCACCTCTTGCTGCCTCCTCTCTCTCTCTCTGTCTGTGGCTGCCGGGTGCCTGCTGCTGTCTGGATTGCACCTGGCCTGCAATTTGCATTATTATACCGTTTACACATGGCCCTTGGAGCACACCTTTCTGAGATCCGAGCAAAGGTAAACAGGGATCGACAATCGTTCCTGATCCTGGCTCCCTACCGCTTCTACCCTTCCTCCCTTATCTAATGCAGGCAGCAGGCAGGCAGCAGCTGTCGCGCCTGCGCGTGCCTAATGTCATAGTTCTTGTTCACCCAGTTCCCGGCGCGGTTCCACTTCGATTCGGCGGGGCGCGTGGCCATTGGAGAAACGGGTTTGCTTTGCTGCTGCTGCTGGCTAACCTAACCGAATATCCCTTCGGCTTTGACTGGTTTTTGGGCCTTTTGGGCCAGCTGCTGCTGCTGCTTGTGCTGCTGCCTGGGCGCAATGGTTTCTTGGGCAGGTGCACGAAATTATTGATACCCGAGGAATGTTGGCTCTTGGGTAATTAATATGCCTGGCCCTGCGTGGCCTGCTCAGCTCAGCTCAGGGCTCGCCCGGCAGTCGCTTCAAAATTGATATGATATATTTTGCACCTTTGCCTGCAGATAGCTCTCCACGGTTCGGTTCGGTTCCTGTGCGAGTGCGAGTGCCAGTTCGAGCCTCATTAGTGGTCACTCGGAGAGCGATCACTAAGTGCATAGGCGTATCGTAATTTTCGAAAGGTTTATTCTGTGGTTATGCATGGCTACAGGTGACAGGACACCCATCGGCTGGGGAGGATCCAAAATGGTTGTGTTGTGCAGCTGGACGCTGATTCTAATACGAGCATCGATCTATTATCAAATATAAATTATATCAATTATGTTTCCATGTCTTACCCGCATTCTCCTTCTCCGATTGCAGCCACTCAATGAGGACAAGTTTCTGTGCTTCAGCTGCAACAATTGGCTGATCAATTGGCACTCCCTGCAGGCGCTCAACAGCAACGATGCCGACAGCCAGAGCCAGAGTCCCTCCGCCCAAATGGGCAACAACAGCAGCGGCAGTCTGCTGCCGCAGGAGCGGGCGCGTCCGATGGGTCGTCCGGTGGCCTATGTGCAGCCACAGGTGCGCGTCAATCCACGGTCTCAGCCTCTGGTACGCGTCCAGCCCCAACCACAGCCCCAACAGCAGCGAGTACGCGTCCAACCCCAACCACAACCCCAACAGCAGCGAGTACGCGTCCAGCCCCAATCCCAATCGCAGTCAAGGATTCGCGTCCAGTCGCGGGTACGCGTACAGCCTCGACTCCGCGTGCAGATCCAGGCCCAGCCCCGTTGCAATGTCAACCTGGCTCCGGCGGCCATCACCTACCGGAAGAGGAGCAGCAGCAGCAGCAGAGGCTTTGGGTCCGCCGACGGCATGAGCAAGATTCTCCGCCAGTGCTACCTGGAGAGCGTCAAGTTCTGGTCGCAGCCAAAGAAAATAACGCAGCAGTCGCTGAACGATTACCTCCGACAGTGCCAGGAGAAGAGCAATCTGCTGGGAAAGGTGCAAGGTGTGGCGCCACGGCGCAAGCAAGCAGCGGTGGCCAGGCAGAGGACAGCCTCTGCTCCCCAGCTAAGCAAGGAGGAGTCTTTGCCACTGGCACCTGCTCCGGCAGCAGCTGCAGCTGCAGCTCCACCTCCTCCGACTCACCAAAGATTCGCCCAGCCGAGTGTCGATGGCAAGGTGGTGGCCATGTTCCGTCGTTTGGGCACCACGCTCAGCAGGGAGAGTCCAATGGATGGACAACAATCAGAACTATCAGCACCCACCACCTCAACCGCATCGCCCCGCCCTCCGCAGATTATGAGCCCCACCAAGCAGCGACCACGCTGGTCGCGAACGCTTGACGATGATGAAGTCCTGCTGGAATTTGATAGCGTCATTTCCGAGGTCCTACCAGTGGCGTCATCATTGACAACATCCTCACCACCAACCACCGCAAGGCGTTGCCTCAGCTATCCAATTACCAATGAAAGGGAGGTGCTGGAGGAAGACCATGGGCAAGCAGACGAGTTAGAGGATATGGAAGTGCTGCAGGAAGAGGAAGTGCAACTGGAGCCGCCGCAGCTCCACGACGACGCAGAAGAAAGCAGCTCCAGCGTGGAAGTTTCCCACCAAGCAACCCTAGAGCATTCTGGCTTGCGGCTGCCCCGCGGCCTGAGCATCAGCCTGATCTAAGGGGCAGATCGATTACCCGGTATGGGTATGGGTATGGGTATCAGTGTAGGGTCCCCCAAGTGGGCCAAAAACCATCAAATGAATAGTCAAATTGAATGCACAAAGCATACATATTATTAGGCATTAGCTAATGTCGTATCTATAGTACCTTGAATTATTTTAATTGTTAGTCAATATATTAGCGTATGTATTAGCGCCTGAGCGGAGATTGAATGCAGCAGACAACAAAATACCTAAGAATGTTAAGTTAACGATGTGGAAAGCTCTATATTTAAAATATATTAGTGTTAATCAACATACCATTCCCCCCATCCCCATCCAAACCCCCACAAGCCAATGTAGTTGAATTTGTGTCTTTTGCTCCAAAAGAAAAAGTATTACAAAATATGAAAGAAAGAAACAAACAAATAAAAGTACTCAAATAGCACAACAGCAATAAACAAAAACACATGCAATTTATCTTTGTTATTTACACTTTTTTACTTTATTTGTGTGATTTTTCTTTTATAATTATTAATTTAAATTAAAATTCAAATTTTGAATTTACGGTAGCAGTGCTGCCAGACTGCTTGAATTTTGCGCCACGCAGATAACAGCGGTCAGTTTTGGAACTAATTAAATGGTGTTTGCCTACAGTACAGAGCTCGCTGCTATGAAATTGCAGTACAAACAGCAGATGGCGCCAGTCATTCCGTTTTGAAAAATACTTTTAGGAGTACAAACAAAAACCAACAGAAATTATATTTAAATATGCCGGTTGGTTCAAACCACATTAAATAAAAGTTCAGCTCCTTTGATCTATCCCATGATGGATACCCATATATCATAGGTGTCCAGCCATCATAAATATTGATCTAGCAGGTGGTACGGCACGTCACCCAACAGGTAGTTATCCCACATAAAGGCTCTGCGTATCTGTTGTTTTTGGGCTAGGTCAGTGTGCATGTGAATCATCTTCACCCACAACTGCCAAATACATTTGCCAAAACAATTCTAGAGACGCAGTTTTGGGTATTCCCAAATATCATTTTTATAGCTTGATTCTGAGAATTATAATTTGCTTTCGCCTCATGTACAAAGAATTGTACAAACAGAATTGTAATTTCGTTTAGTGGACTCGTATTTATTTTAGTTAGCCAATTGCGTAGTGAGAACGAACGTGTTGAGGTCAGACAAGCAACAGCATCGTCGCGGTGTTTATACAAGTGAGACTGAAAAATGTACGAGTAGTACACCCCATCCCCATCCCCATTCATTTTGGCATTACAATATGGCATTTCATCAATACGAACCGAATCAAAATGATGACTGACTGACGACATGACTGGCAATGTTAATAATCTTGTGCGGAAATTTCTACGCGCACTTCAAGTACAGTGCGCCTTAATTGTTGAGGCTGAAACTAAGGTTGCTTTTATTTATAAATAAATATTGTATCAATTTGCCTTCTGAACTTGAAGATGACTTGGCACAGAGCAGAGCAGAGCAGAGAGCGGATCGGAGGAGCGCATGCGAGTGACTGCCGGAAGTCAAGTCCCATCGAGTATACGCAGTGTGGCCGTGTAATGTGGTTAAATTTCTTAATGCCACCGCCAAATGACGGCCAAGGTTGAGGCAGGCAACGGCAACACACTTGCCACACGGCGGCACGTTCTACGCACTGCCACCGATGTGCCACAGAGGCCGGCATTGAACGCTTTGAGACATTTTTAGCCACCTCAAGGATGCGATATCTTGCCAAAAGTGTAGACCTGGCTAAGGTCAGTTCTCAGCATCGGCATCAGCATCGGCATCAGCATCGGCATCGGCATCTGTATCGGCGAACAACTTTCGTTCCATTTGGAGACGAGAGTTGAGAGTCAGCAGCAAATGTCAGTTCAATACACATCAGATTATGTCATCCGTGGGGCAGTCACCAACTCCCCACCATCCCACCACCCCACCAACAAAATGGATGCCTGCCTGCCTGACTCGTTTGCTATAATTTACAACATTTATATTTAGCCTAACATCAAGATCTGAATGAACTTTTTCCATTAAGTTATTCTGGAAAATAACCCGACTGGTTTCTCATTTAACTTTCAGTTTTTCGGTTCCTGTTTCAATAAATTTAATTAGCATATATTTAAAAAGGGAATTTAGCAGCCTCCCCCCGGGCAGGAAGTTTAATCATCCGATCACATGAACCCGTGCTCTGTGATTACTCGCCCAATTTACGGCCGCCTATGGATATGTGCATGTGGATATTATGCAAGAGGTACGCACAACATGCTTCCCGTTGGCCACCGGCATTCATGGCACGATGGGATCTAATATTGGGGCCAGCTCCAGCTCCAGCTCCTGGCCCACGCGGTGAAAAATTGTGCGACAATTAGTTCAGGCATGCAGGCAGGCGCTGTCGCTGCCGCTGGCCAGGCTTCCAAACGGGTTTTCTTCTTGGCCCCAGAGAGTGCTGGTGGGCGGCACTGGCCGATGCGTGTGTGCAAAAATCCCATATAATGTGCACGAGTACATATACCTATTGAAATTGTTTAATAAATCGAAAAATGAAACAAAAAATGAACTCAAAATTGAACAACAAATACCTTGGAACCGCAAAAAAAATAAGCAAAAAAAAAAAAAACGCACGCACGGCAACGATTAAGATACGAGTGTGAGTGTGAGTATGGGTATGGGTACTCGAAATACAGCTCCAGCGGCAAGCAGCAGCAGCAGCAGCACAGGCAGTAACAATGCTAACGGCCGCTTTATGAACAATTATGAACCGCGGGCGAGTTCGGATCCAAGTTGGGGGCGCATGCGTCACGCTTTTTGTGTGCCGCTCGCTCGCTCGCTCCCTCATGTCACTGTGTGAAGACAAACTTTTCGCAGAAATTACGAATATTATTCAGTATTATTCAATATAATTCAAATTGTTGCTTTCACAGGCAAGGCAGACTGGTTGAGATTGTTTGTTGTTGTTGTTGTTGCTGTTGCTGTTGTTGGCTATTTCGTTGGCCTAGTTACCTTCGGTTCTCGAGTGGCGCGAATTTCAGTTTCGCTTTCAATTTGGGGGCTGCCTTCGATTGCGCAAGATTCGGTGCGGTAAATGATTTTGGCAAAAAGACAGCAAATTGCTGGCTAAGCTCCATTTCAAGTTCATTATTGTAACAATGGACCCAACTAATAATACCACCCATTGGCTACCCTACCCCAGACGAGACGAGACGAGAAGTAAACGCTGTTTGTTCAAATATTATTTATTTATGGTTAACACACACGCGTAGGTACGAGTACGAGTACGAGTATATAATACGAGTATAATTTATTGCAATGCTTCTGTAAGAAATCAAAATTAAAAGCTAAAAGCTAAAAATGAAAAATATTTTTATTCTCTCCTGTAATAATCCGTTTTGCTGTTTCCTCCGTCACCATTCCATTCGAGAGGACAACCAATTCCATTTTAAGTCTAAGTAGATATATGGATTTATGCTAACTATAGTTACAACTGAAGAACAAGTATTGAAAATATAGCGAAACAAAAACAATTAAAAAAAAAGATCTGTGGCTGGAAAATGTGGAGCTGTTTTGCCTCTTGCCCAGCGTATGATTAATCTATGGACCCTGAGACTCTAATCAAGTTAATTTCGCGCACCTTTCTCCAAATTGCATCCGTATTATGGCCACTTTTCTAGAACTGTTAATTTATGGCAGCCACTCGGTGTATTTCAATATCCTACTTCTAAGCTAATTAAGTATTTTTTATTAACTATAAAAGAACACTAGTAAATCTTCGTATGGTTAATGGGCCATAAAGTGTGTCAACCCCTGGGGGAAATACACATGTATCTACCATAATGGTGGATTTATCTTCCTATATAAGTAGTCAACAGGTTATTAAATAGTTTGTGAAAACATAACGATCGATACAAAATATGATTTATAGAACCTACCATCTATCAACTGAATAATGCCCTAATGAGAGCCCTAATCTAATAATATTCGATCCAAGAATTGTATCTCCGATCTTTAAGTATTGGCAGTGTTGCGTAAAAGAATGATATATATGGATTATAGATTTGATCTTGAGCAAGAGAACGAACTCCACATTAACTAGACCGCAAGATCCCATTTCCATTTGAAGTTACGCTTATGGACTAAAAATTCGATTGCTATCCCATGTGTGGGGCTATAGATTGGGGGAGTTGTTAGGATCGGAATCGAATCGTGTGTGTGTGTGTGTGTGTGGGATATACATACAGACATACATACATATACAAGGGTGGACAGCATCACAGTGTACAGCCATTAATTTCACAAACAAGTACGAGTACGAGTACGAGCAGTAGACAAAGAGTTCCCACTAAAACTAATCAACAAACAATCCACGCCCCACGCAGCCGCATGGTCTAGTTAACGGGGGACACATCCTGGCCGAACTTCCTGGCACGCTGTCCGAAACCCTTGCTACCATCCGGACCTATGGGTGTGCGGACGAGGCTCTCTGCGGCACGCTGTGCAAAGGACCCGGACCTGGAGCGTGGTGATCCGTCCAGGAAGCTGCCAGTGCGAGATCGCGGCTGTCCATCGTATAAATCGACGCCGCCGCCGCCGCCATGTTTGTAGTTGCTCAGGAAACTGCCAGTGCGGGAGCGCGGCGATCCCTCAAACTCCGATCCGAAGGAGTAGCGGCGATCGTAGCCCGAGTCCGAGGATATGCGACGTCCTCCAATGTACTGGGCATTGTCGTAGGCCGCCAGCTTGTTGCTCAGCTGCTGGAAATTGTTGGAGTAGCGGCGCGGCCACACCTGGTAGCCGCCTCCACCGCCACCCACCATCTGATCGGTGGGTATCGGCTCGCGCTCCAAGTTGAAGTCGTTGGAGGGACGGCGATAGAAGCCGTTGCTCTCGCTGGCGTTCGAGAAGGTGCGCTCGAACTGCATGGATCCGTTGGAGAAGCGCCGCTCCCCGCTGTTGCCCTGGCAGCTGCCATTCGAGCAGACGGAGGTCTTGCGGTAGGCCGTGTCTGCCTGTCCAAAGTCCGAGACTCTCCTCGAGCAGGGACAGCTGTCCGAGCAGTTGGAGTCCCGCCGCTGCGGAGCCCCCGTCTCCGAGCAGTTGCTCGTCCTGCGGGACATTGGGGCGTTCGCCTCCGCGCTGTAGTTCTGATCCGAGCAGTTGGACAGACGCCGCTGCAGGCTGCTCATGCTGGACACCGGATTACTGGCACTGGGCGGACCGACGACAGCAGAGGGCGAGGGCAAGGCATCGCCCAAGGCAGCCGCCGTGTTGGCGGAGATGGTCGACGTATTGCTGTACCGTCTGGGTGCATAGGAGAAAAAACCAGCCGGAGCGCCGCTCTCCTGGTTTCCGATGCTGCCCCTGGGCTGGTAGTGCTGGTAGGGATTGCCATTGCCATTACCATGGCCGCCGTGGAAGTGCGGTGCTGCCGCCTGGTAGAAGCTCTGCTGGAAGTCCGAATTGTTGCGCTTCAGCTTGAATCGCAGGTCCGGCATGGTCTCGTGGCCGGAGAAGCTGCCGCCGCGCGATCTCTCGTAGCTGGCGTCGTTGTAGTAGCGATAGTTCTCCACCATGCGGGCGACGGGTGCGGCTATCTGGATGACGGCCGCCTTCTTGCCCGTCTTCTTCTTGGGTGCAACCATTTCGTAGACCTGGAAGGGACCGCTCAGGTGGCGAGCGTCGCGCGCGGAGGAGGACTCCAGATACTCGACCAGGGCGCACTCCTTCTGCTGCAGCTCCGGATACTTGTTCATGAACTGGCGCACATCCACGGGTATGGCCATGCCAGGCTTGAGGATGCGGATCAGGGCGATCTCGCCGCACCGGGAGAACAAATCGGAGACCTTTTCGATGGTCAGCTTGTCCATGGGCAGATCGCAGGCCACGATGGTGCGCGAGGGCATCGTCTCGTCGAAGCTGGGCAGAGCGTCGATGCGTCGCACCTTTGTTCCCTGGTCGTTCAGCTCGATCTTCCTCGACTTGCGACGCACTGCATCCCCCACGGTCTTCCACTCGCGGGTCAGCTGGCGCACGCGCTTGAAGCTGGACACCAGCTTAAGGCTCACGTACCCCTCCTTGTTGCGCCGCACGTGCTTCAGCAGGAAGGCGTCCTTGAGGATGCTCTCGTTGGAGAAGTAGAACTCCACGGCGTCGGTGATCTCTGCGGCCAGCTCCTCGCTCGGAATGAGCGACGGATCCATGTTGTCGATCTCGTTGGGCAGTTGGGAGGTCGCCTCCTCCACTGGGTCCATTCCCTTCTCCGCGACTCTCTCTTCCACCTCCTTCTCCTTCTTCAAGGCGAGGAACGAGCGGTGCTCCCTGCGCGGCTCTGGCACGGGCGAGTTGGCGGGGGCCACAGCTGGTGGTGGAGACGTGTCCATGGTGAAGTTCGGATGCAGGTAGATGTTGTCCATCTGGTGCTTGCGGAACTTCTCCAGATTGGCCTCGCTGAGCACGGCCGGCGGTGTAGTTTGGCGCTCGGACAGATCCACCTCGTGCATAATGTGATTGTCCACGGCCAGGGGCTTCAGCTCATCGTCCTCCTCCGATTCTTCGGAGTCGCCAATGGAGGAGCCCATGCCCACGTCCACCAGCAGCTGGTCGCCGTTTGGCGGCGACATAGGCGGGGCACTGGGCGCGGTGTCCTCCGATAAGCTTCCCCCACTGCTGCCCAGCTGCGAGTCCAGCGATTCCATCTGGTGGAGCAGTGCCTGGGCCGAGCGTTTGGCGTGGAAACGCAACAGTTTCGAAGGCAGCGATGATGAGAGTGGCACTATCGCCTGGGAGCTGCAACAGGGCTGCTCATCTTCGTCTTCCATCTGCCCTATCCTCGGCTGCCGGCGGATCCCGGGGCTTCATCACGGGCACAGCTGTCAGAATGGGAGCAGCTGGCAATGGAATAGGCGCTGGCATTGGCATTGGCATTGACGCTGATGCTGATGCTGGCACGGGACTCACAACAAAAGTGTGCCCCTGCTCGCCGGCGTGAGGTGCCTTTACCGCGTACGTGTGCTCCGTCTCCTGGGGATTGCTCATGTTGCTGGGTGGATCTTGGTGGCTGACCTTGGCTGATGCTCTGAGATGTCCAGATGTTGGCACTCCAGCAAAAGCAGCTGCAACTGTAACACTCTCTCTCTTATTCGGCAGCTTCTGCTGTCTTTCCTTTGCTCTCTTATTCCGGTAGGTAGCACACTCTCTCTTACTCTCTTAATCTCTAATCGCTGCTCTAAGCTCAAAGCTCTAAGCGCTTCGTTCAAGCCTCTATCTCTCTCTCTCTGTTGATCGTGCTCGATCTGTCTCCTATCTGCAGCTGCTTCTCTTTCTCTCTTTCACTTTCACTTTCAAGTTCAGTTGTCAAAGCTCTCCTCTCTCCCTCGAGATGCACTCACATTGAAGAGTCAAATTGGAATGGGAATGAATGGCAGTGGTAATGCTAATGGGTGGAGGAGCTCCCTATCTGCATTTGTGTAACTTTTGGCTCTTTAACCGTTCATTGAACGAAAGTCAGCTGTTTAAATGTTGTCGCTGTTGTTGCTTGCGTAATGTTGTCTGTTGTCTGCAACGTGCTCGGAATTTGTATATCGGGTAGTTTATTTCTTTTTCTAGGCCGCGCTTGACACCAATTGGCAATGCTATTCAATAAAAGTTCAATTTACAATTTCGAATGCGTTTTGGGGAATTTTTTCCCAGTTCCGTTTTTATTTTAGATGTTTTTTGTTTGTTTGTTTCAAATGTTATAGTTTTAGTTGCTGTTGTTGTTGTTGCCCGTTTCCTCACTAATTATTTCCGTAAGGCATTCACCAAAAAAAGTTTATAATCTTTTTGTTCAACTTTCTGTTTCGCACGAGAGAGTTTGATTGAGTTCATGCAACGCTGCAACGCGGAGATCGACTGAAATTGCAAATTGATTTGAGGCCGGTTAAATACCCTCTGCTTTCGTCTCGATTTTTGTTCAGGCTTTTTTCGTGTGCCGCAGTGGCAGCGGCCACATGAGAGGGAGACGGCGACGGTGACGTTGACGTTGACGGCGAGCGTAGCGTTATTGAGAGTCCCAAGTACGCACGATAGCAACAGCAGCAGCAACAACAAGCGGAGGTCGAAACTCTTGATACCCTAGCATAGCAGATCGAAATATAGTCATCTGATGCTGATCAATTTTGCCAAAGCTATCAATAAACACAGGCCACAATTGTTGGTTCAGTTTTGGCTAGAACACCAGCAGATGAAATGAAATGAACTGCTTCCCCTTAATTGACATATTAACGAACATTCCGATGGTTAATGCTGATCGTAAAATATAGATGATCTGTATTTAGTTTATTGGGTCGGAAATCTTTCCATCACTGCTTGGCAATCATCTGCTCAACATCTATATACCCGCTGCAAGCGTATCAGAAGCAAGCAGCCAGCAAGCAGTCAGCAAGCAGCAGCCTGGGTGAGAGAGAGAGAGAGAAGCCAGCAGAGGCGCCGACAGCGACAACTTATTGGCAACACACACGAAACTTGTTGCGTTGGCAACAACAACAACAACAACTAAAGCAACAACAAGCGGTGCGACAATCGCATTTGCTCAATGCATTTGTCAGCTTTTGTTGTTGGATGAATTTTTATGAATTTTATTTCTTATAAAGTGTTCTCTGCCACACACACACACACACAAACACTGCTGCACACTCACCTGACACACACACACACATGGAAACGCATTTCGAGGCACTTCCGATTTGCATTGATCGTTCGCATTTTGCGAAAATTGGGAAAGTGCTTTTCGTTTAGCAATAGTCGATAGATGTTGGTTGGGTTGTGTGATTTTGTTGCTGCCGGCGCGACATCGCAGTGACCTCGTTGCAAGCACACACAAACAATTGCACAATTACTTACTATGCAACACGCCAGCTTTCAGTCGGGTCCAGCAGCAGCAGCGCCTCTATTCACTCGTATCTATAGGGGAAGCAGGAAGGAAATGGCACGCTTGAGGGTTAGACGACACTCAAAGACAGAGGCAGAGGCAGTGCCTCCAGTGGAGGAGAGCGAGGCGATCAATCAATGGCAGGGGCGGTCCCAGTTCCGCCTAGAACCACTTAATCTATTAGGGGTGTCCTACCCAAATACATACTACGCGTAGTTAGTGCTAATGCAGCATTCGAGATTCGCATCTCATTTAATCTACGACTGACGAGTACGTACACGGTACTGCAGCAGCAGTGGCTGGTCTCTGATCGGCAATTTGCATGTCAAGTGCAAGTTCAAGTGCAAGACTGCGTTCTCTCGGCTTTTGCTTTACACTATGGGAGAATGATTTCACCGCATTATATCATCGCGTATATGAATGTATGCATACGCAACAAATCTATGTATGTATGTTATGTCCCATTCTAATCCTTTTAGCGGACCGTACCCCACATCTATGAAACTTTCTGTGCCACTGTCGTCTTTTTATTGCATCAGCATGCGGGGTGCAACGAGTAAGTATCTGCTGTTTACTCAACAACGAAAAATGAACTGATAAAATTCCAGCAAGAATGCAAGGAGGCGCAACAGACGTTTGCAATCCAATTATAAGGTGAACCATTCATAGTGCGGCTGGCTGCTGCTGCTGCTGGTGCGAGTGCCGGCCACGAGGCGTATACTTAATGTAAGGTCAAATGGCCATCGGATTGTTCATTAATTTGCCAATTGACGACAAGCATTTCATTTCGCTTGGAGTGGCAGTGCCCCCTACAATTTGATTTGCCAACAAGTAAATTATGTTGCCAAAAAATAGCAACAAAAATCTAAAAACCAAGACTTGCAACCTTGCGGTAAGAGACACACAGACACACTGGCACACAAAAGCCACAATAATCACTTTGATTTCTTATTGTTTGTTTGCTGCTGTTGCTGCTGGTAGCACAAACGAAATGGCAAATGATTTATTTAATAAATATAAAAATAAAATTATGTTTCTTTATGGCATTCGGCAGCGGCAGCCTCCAAGAGAGAGGCGTGTCCATCTGAGATAGATTAATCGAGCTTTTTATTGTTTGCCAGAGCTCGCATTAATCCAGGAAGTGCGAGATACACATTGAGGTAGGTCAATGGAAGGTGCTGGTGTAGGCGGGGGTGGGCAAGGCACGCGCAGACACCAAATTGCCTCTAAAAGCCAATTTTTAAGCCTTATGCTGCATTGTTGCTTGTTTGCTTTGTTCACGCATTTATTTGCCTTTATTTAGCGTTTATTTTACTTACTTTTTGCACTTTTTTTTCGACTCGAACCCGAGACGAGCGCGTTCAGGGCCATAGCTATAGCTATAGCTATGGTTATGGTATGGCCGATCTGATTGTGATCGGCGCACATTAGCAATTGTTGTTAGCTGAAGTTTGTCCTTCGGTTGACATTTTGCACGCGTTTTAGTGGCTGTTGAGCCTACGCAAAGGTTTCCACTGAAAACTGAAGTGTTTGGAGATCGTTTGAGTGGGCTGGGAAGAAGAGGCTGGGCCATGGCAGATCTCCTCAGTCTAAATGGTCTTTTGACAGCTCTCTGACTCTTAACTAATTTTAATATATTTTATTTTAATTGTTTGCACACCTCAACTCTCTGCTTTCGTCAATTCAATCAGTCACGTTGCATGAATCAACTCTCCATCCAGCTCATTAGATTGCATGACACTCGGCCGCCAGACAATTGCCAATCAGCAGAGCAGCCTCACCTCACCTTACGTCAAGTTCAATGTTGCACAGTTGAAAGCTGTTGTGGATGTGGCATAAATTATAGTGCATGTGAGATTTGATGAATTATGATCCCCTATGCTGGTAGGCCTGCCAAAAGTGGGTCACGAGAAGGAATACAAGCGCACGCACACGCACAGGGATTACATAAGTCAGAACCTTTTTGTTTATTTCGTTCGGGGAAAACAGGTTCAGGGCAAGGGCATTGCAACCTTCGGATGCACGATCCTCCTCGTTTGTCTGCAAGTTGCAATCACCAGCAGCAGCAGCAACAGCAGCAGCAGCACCACCATCACCTGTATAAAGGGCCAGCCGCACTGACCCGGTGGCATCCACTTGAGATTGTGGTGCGAAACCAGTTCCGAGTCGAGTGAAGTCAAGTGCCTGCAACGAGCCCAGGTTTCGGCACTTCATTAAGGAAGCCTCCTACAGACAGTGCGACACGGGTGCAACCTTGGCAGCGGCTGATGCCAAGTTTTCGATTTTTTTGAGTTTTTCGTGTTTTGTGGCAGGAAGACAACGCTGCCGCCGGCCATCGGCATCGCGATTCTCAGACCTGTAACAGGTTGCGCGTCCAGGCGGTCAGTTGATGACCTCCACCACAGTTGGCATTACATATTTTATATAGTTTTCATTCCATTTAACCGCACGCTTTTAATTAAACTCCATCGTTCAATCCACCGACATCGTAGAGTGCGAAGTGCGATTTTTCCCCTTCTCGAGCGACAGAATTGGGTTACAAATGTCTCAGGCTCGAGAACAAGCTCTGGCTGGGCCGCCGTCTCGCACTTTTCAGCCCAAATCCGACTCCGACGCCGAATCCGAAATTGTTGTGCAATTAAAATTGCATTTTGGTGCCGCAAACGTTTTGTGAATGCCTCCAGTCAGCTGGAGTTTAGTTGCCGACCACAGAGAGTTTGTGGTGCGTGCAACGCATTGGGGCAGGGCAGGGCAGGGCAGAGCAGGGCGGGGCCAGGCATGGGCAACGCCTGTCTCCGTGTGGGTTGGTCTCTGGTATGTGCATAATGAAATAACCGACATGATCATAATGTACGGCACGCGGTTAATGTTAAACCCAAACCCCCCGTTTATTGCCGCTACAAATTTGTGCTGGCAACACAAAGGGGAGGGAGGGAGTTTTGATCTATGAAATTTGAGAATAATTCCAACCATTCTCAACAGTGTTCTCTATACATGCGAGAGTTCCCGTTAGAGAATATGTTATAAATCTCCCTCAATAGCTCAATTAATGTACAGATTGTGATCCCACGAACATTAAGCCATTAACATTCTCACAGCATTTATTTCATAACGAAAACGGAAGCAGAGTTCCACAGACGTTCGACACTGAAACAGTTGAGTAAACAACACATAAATAAATTTGATCGAAACGTTAAGGTTGGCTATGGCACTGCTCAAAAATATTTATAATTGGAAGCACAACGGGGGATAGGATTATCTTGGGGCACGATAATCAAAGTAATGCCAGTGCCCTGGCTCTGGCACTGGCTCTCTGGTTGCGTGACTCAGTCTGTGGCTGCCTCTGTCCAGCGATTTCTTCTAGTTGCATCGTGATTAATCTGCATATATATGTACATATATCACTGCATACATGTATGTATGTCTATATAAATATGTACAGCAGCCGATGGCCTTCATAATATGGCAAACAAACAACGCGACATTAAATTATGCGCCTAGGCCTATTATTTTATGCAATTGATAAATTGACAACGAGCGGACCGGACCCGGACCGCTCACTTTTTTCACATTTCGCAGTGCGTGTCTCTTGCCACGCCCACCCTCAATATACGCCTTTATGGCCGCCTGCACCTGGAAAATGCCTGGCAACTTTCATATCGATTGAACTTTTCGCCAACTGCAGTTTGTTTGTCATTCGGTTTCAATGTCAAGGTTGCTGCCGCCTATACATAGTGCACTTATTGACTTTCAATTAGCTGCAGTCGCTATTGCAGTTGCATCCTTGTAACCACACACACACAGAAAACGGAACAAGTCTGGGGTCTGTGTCTGGGTGCATGCCATTAGGCAAATGAGCTTGCGATTATGCTCCATTGAGTGAAATGTTCTGCCAGCCCACACTGAGAACCAAACCAAGAAAACCGCAGTCTGAAGGTAATTTGTCGCACTCAACGCACTTGCCGATAATAAATTCTACATATATGGGGAAGTGTGAGAGGGGTGTAAGAGGGGTGTGGCGTGGAAATATCATTGAACTCACGCCATATTATTTGACAAATTGCATGAGATATTCAAATTTGTCTTTGGAAAGAATGGGCCTGAGTTTCAGCCAAGGCTGTGCGCGCTAGGCATAAATCATTTGACTCCAACTGGAGCCTGGACAAGACACACTACACAGACATTGTATGAATGTGGCCTGGGAGAATTGGCAATGTTTTCCTTCTATTACATATCGAGAATTTAAGATCTTGACCGATTGTTAGTCATTCAGAGATACATACATACATATATCAAATTGGGCGTATGAGTGATGCCAAATCCTGTTGCTACACTTGCATTTCACCTTTCCGACTTCCTCTGGGAATAGCAGCGCCCCGTGAATCATTAACCATAAATTGTGAGCCTGTTCAGTGCCTCGATATGGTCACGCCAGCACGGAGCATCGAGCATCATCCACATGACCTCAATTGTCGTGCGCTAGTCGCGACTTTTTGGCGTGATTTTGTGCTGACAACCTTGGCCTTAGAACGAACCATTATAATGGAACAGCAACCGATATACGGACTGGTACATACATACATACATACATATATCTATAACAATCAACTAACGGCAGTTGATCAATTTCCACAGCTAAACATCTGTTAACAGGCGAAACACAGCGCCCAACCCCAACCCCAGCCCCAACCAACACTAACACACACACAGGCGATCTCGCTGACATTGCAAAACTAAAAATAAACTTTAGAAAACGAACAATATGCAGTAATACAGACTACCGTTAGGCCCGTCCCCGTCTGAGGCGGCTGCTAGATTAATTGCACTTTGATTGCGGGCCATTGCAATGCCAGAGCGAGGGAGCTAGCAAATCGGAAGCACAAAACGCCAGTAAACCGCATGGAAATCGCGCTGCAATCGAGGCGGAAGCTCGCGTCTCGGGCTTGGAGATCGATCTAGTGTCGGATCGGATCGGATCGACAGTAGACACACACGTGGGATGAACTTTAATGCGTTTGTTTATTTTCAGGATCGGGCTTTCGTAGTTAGTTGAGTTCAATAAATACTTACTGGCTATTTTAAACATGTGTAACACAATCTTTAGTTAGCAACTACATAATACGAACTTATCGAACAGGAGGCGGAGGCTTAGGCGTACGATTTAGGCTTAGTCAAAGTGGGAGGAGGCGGTGGCCCTGGCGAAGACAGAGGCCCGCTTGCTAGGCACACGAGCAGCTTTTCTTGCAGGAGACGCCGCCACAGGAATAAATACTACAACTTGAGCTGCTTCTTTACCTGCTGCCGCTCCAGTTTGCGCTCGCGCTGCTGCAGGAACTCTCGCCTCAGCTCGCTGGAACGCATCTCCAGGATGCAGTTGAGCTTGCCGTGGATCTGCTCGGCCGTGTGCGTGTCCGTATCGAAGTCATAGTGCTTAAATCGAATATTGCTGGTCATGAAGAAGCCGAAAGAGTTTCCCGGACTGCTTGGGGAGTGGGCGATTCCGGCACTGCTGCTGCCCGTGCCCGTGTTCAGCGTGGTCACGCTGGCATTAATGGGCGCCGAGGTGCAGCCGGAAGGCATAGAGGAGGAGGTGGAATTGGACTTTAGCCAGATACGAAGCAGGGCCTTCAGGTGACGCCGCTCCACAATCTCGCAATGGGCCACGGCATCAATGGGCGTGGAAACGGGCTTCTTCTGTGGCCAGAACTTGGCATTCTTGTACTGGTCGATCTCGATCCGCTCGCCGGAGATGCCAAGCGTGACGTCAGACTTGAAGAAACGCTTGTCGATGATGTTGAGGCGGAAGGAGCGATGCATGGGCGCCTCCAGCATATCGTTGTGATTGAGCAGACGCTTTTCGTACTCCTTGACATTGTCGTGCGGACTCTCGTCGCCGCCTCCGGCTGCTCCTCCCCCTGGATCGGCTCCTCCTCCATTTAACGTAATGTCCTTCAGAGCCCTTACCGCTGCTTCGGCCAAAGTGGCCTTATCATCCTCGGAGGTCATAGATTTGGTGCCCAGCTGTCCGGGGTAGTCCACCCTGGTGACGGGCGCCAGGGGTCGCCGCTCTGCGAGGGTCAGGTGCGAGAATCCAAACTTGGAGCAGGGCTCGCGATTGTCTAGAGGCGGGAAGTCTTCCATGTCGTCGTTGTCCTCGGTCATGTAGAGGCCATAGTGCTGCAACGACTTCAGAGGCACGTCTGGATACTGCTGGGAGGTCTTATAGCAAACGAAGCCAATCACCTCCTGGATCTTGGCAGTGGACAGCACGCAGACCTTGAGGGGATAGTTGCGGTCTGGCTCTGGCAGCATGCTTAGATAGACATTGATGCGCTTCGTCTGCATGCCCACCTGGGCGGTGCCATCGAAGCGGGCGAAATCGATGAACTTGTTCTGAGTCTGTTTGGGGCTATTCGCCAGTTGTTCCGTCAGCATGCTCTGAACGCCCTCGTCGGATAGCTCATCGTCGTTCGCCTTTTTCTCCTTTGGGATGCCTGGCTTTATATTTGGTATTTCCTTGCGCTTGAAGAAATCTTTGTCGTCGGGCGGCTGCACTTCCTCGTTGTAGTTGATGCTCTTGATGCGCGCCGCCCTCCGCTTGGCAATGTCCAGTTTCTCCAGCTTTTGGGCCGTGTTGGACCGAAAACGGTGGGCCCCCACCTCGGGGTACATCTGAATGTCGAACGAATGCGTGGACATGTCCTCCTAAATGGAAATTCGTAAATTGATTCAAACAGTTCAAACACACCCTGCAGGCTGCTCGAATGTGATTTAATCGCTGAATATTACCTCATCGTCGCTCAGATCCAGGCCGGGGTAACATACAAAGTCTACTTCCTGCATTGGCGCGTCCGGATGCCGTATATTCCTGTCCGTTGCAGCGCTGGCTAGCGGTGGCTTCAACGGCCTACGCCTATGGGATTCCGCCCCAGCCGATGAGTTGAATTTTCTCAAATAATGCTTTGGCATGTCATCGCTCAGCATCACGGTCTCGCACATCCCGGTGTCGTCGGTGGAGATGAAGGAGTTGCGGATGTGGGAGAGCAGCCAATGCTGGTTGGAGTAGGTGGCCATGGTTGAAGAGAAATGGTTTTATTTGTAAATTACTTTTATTTCTATTTATCTCAGCATCGCGCAAAAATACACTAACGCGTTCCAACCAAACTGTGAACGTTACTTGCGAATCAGTCACTTTTCGCAGGTATTTTTAAAAACATAGTCGCGGCTCTCACAATATATTAAAACTAGCTGCAGGGCATGGAGTGTACGACAAAAACACGTTACAATTACAAAATTTCAAGTGAAGTTCATTTACATTCTGAATTTTCTATGCTTTAAAGAACCATTAAAACTGCCCAGTAAGAACGATTGTGATTCAGTAAAAGTATTTAGTATGTATATCACAGTTTAAATGGCGTGGTATCTTTTCGGTATATTCCTGCGCTGCTATGGTCACTCTAGGCCACCATATGACTTTTTCCAGACGCGAAAAATTAGACAATTTCAGAATAGTTTCCAAGTAAGTTTTCACCATGTCCTATGCATAAACTGGAGTCACGTTATGCTCAACTTTTTCAGTACACATAACTGCATCGCCTCAATGTTGTAGCAAGGCTTAAAATGGCGGGCCTCGAGGTTGAATTCGACGAGACAGCGGTCAATCAGTTTAGCTGCAAGCGTTGCGACCGCGTAAGTATCTCCACGATTTTGGTGTTGGTTTGCTAATCTCAAATGCGATTCCTTATGGCAGACGTTCAAGAGCAAACGCGACCAGACCCTTCACCGCCAGGAGGTTCATAATCACAACAAAACTACCTATGAATGCAAGCTGTGTGCAAAGAGTTTTTGCAACTCGGGCAACCTCGATCGCCATATGAAGGTGCACAACGATGTGCGGCCGTTTGTGTGCAACATATGCTCGAAGGCATTTGCCCAGGCGGTGAACCTGCAACGCCACTTTGCGGTCCACAGTGGCGAGCGGCCGTTCACCTGCAACTTCTGCAACAAGTCCTTCACGCAGCAGAGCAACATGAAGCGGCACAAAATGACACACACCGGCGAGAAGCCGTTCCGCTGTCAACGGTGTGGCCGCTACTTCTCCCAGCTCGTGAACCTCAAGAAGCACAAGCTCGGACACCTCAACGCCAAGCCATACCAGTGCAATTACTGTGAAAAGGGCTTCACCCAGCTCTCAAACTTCAAGCGTCACCTACAGTCGCACATCAAGGAGGGCGTCGACGTGGATGTGCCCGCTTCGATTCAAGCGGCGGCGGCCCTGGCGAGGGAACGTCTCGAGGCGGAGCAGAAACCGTAAGGAATTCCATTCACTCTCCTACTCCAAAGTTTTAATGCATTTTCTACTTTTAGGAGTTTCTTTGAGTGCATGGTTTGTCGAGCTATTTTCGATACGTTCTCGGACTACGAGAAGCATGAGACCAAGTGCCATGAGGAGAATGAGCGGGCCACACTGGAGGTAAATCAAATGGCCCACATGCATCCCGATGACTATTTGCCCATGAAGTTTGCAGTGCCCGACCTGGACACGCACGAGATCATAATCGAGACTACACATTAGAGTTGCGATAATGTTAGACATACACGGACACAAACAACCACACACACACACACACACAGACAGACAGAGCTACACCCACACCTACACCGACACATACAAATAGCAATGAAAACGCGTGTCTGGAAGATTGTAAAAACCATTGCATGAATTATTCATTCTATATACCATATGCAGGCCAACCAACCTAGTTCTCCACTGAAATACAGCAATAAATGCAGTAAATATACTTAATATATGAGTATATAATCAGTTTTAGCTTAATCAGCCCGATTATCTCTGCGTTAACATTGTTGAGGGATGATGGCTGATGGCTGCTAGCTGCTAGCGATTTAGTAGCTCTAAAAACCCTTAACTACAGCCTTTTATTATGTGTGATTTTATGGCCATATGATTTTTGCTGAATTTCATTGTCACATCATCAAAGTGAATCGCTCGTGCGTAAGTTCCCAACCTTTGCAGTGCGTAAAATGTCGCCTTAATGACACATTTACTGCAGCTGTAAAATGCTCCTCCCCTGGCAAACATTCTTGCGTCATTAACATGGAAAAGACTGTCCTTAAAGGCTCGCCTTAAAGGCAAAAAAAAATCAATTGCAACAAACATAGATGGAAGAATGGAGATATCCGCAGAGAGATGGAAAACTGGAGATATCCGCTGCCGTAGCTGCTTGACAGGGAGGTAATTTATACGTATGTTCAACGGATTTATCCTATTTTCTTGGTTATTTGATTGAAACTAATTAAGGGCACGTACCCGACTTGTTTACAAACCATAATTGATCGGAGAGAAGAGTCCTTCTTATCGGCACCCGGATGACAGCCCTGCCCTGGGCCAGGCCATGCATGTCCTTGGGCGCTCTTGGCTCTACTCGTTTTTGCTGCTGCAGCGCCAGTAAATCAAACTATTTATACCTCGAGGCAATAATATTTCATGTTCACATGGTTGTCCTGCTACATTATCCCCACTTTGTATATCCTCCGCTTGTGGATGTGTGGCTCGCCTCGCCACTGCCTGGAGCCTCGGGCTAATAGGTGCACATTTATTAGGCTGCCCAGTGTCATTTGTTATAAATTTATTAAGCTGCTTCCATTTCCATGGCTTGAATTTCCCTTGCAGACTTCCCCGAGTGTGTTTTAAATGAAATCAATAGCAGGGATCTCGGACTCCAATGTCCAATGTACTTTTTTGTGCTGTTCAAATATTCGTGCACTGATTTTGTATGGCCATAGTCGTTCGATTCCCGCGTCGTGTCCCCCTTCGGTTATTTGGCCAGCATGCAAATAATCAAACGGGGGTTGCACAAACATTTAGAGGGGGAACTGGTGGTGTCCTCAAAAATGCCAATGGCTGGGGTAATGGGGTACTGGGTGTCGAGAAATTAACCAAACAAGTTGACAAAGACAAACAGCGCACAGAATCCATTGTGGCAGGCGACGCCTGAAGTTAGGCAACGGAATTCGTAACCTTTGTGGCAGTCCCCCACACAAGTTTTCAACTTTAAACGGTTACTCCCTGAAGTGGAGTGGCTTAGTGCCGCTGTGAAAAGCGCTTTAAAAGCCAATTTCCAATTGTGATATTTTATGCCATACGCCCACGCTCCACCCACACACAGGCAGGAAGGACAGCCCGCATGTCCTAAATTGATTTGGCAAATGTTCAGCCATCATCATCATTATCAGCTCTGGTTCTGGCTCTGGCGCTGGTTGGTGGTGGATGTGGCGGCGGTGGTGGCACGGTCCCTTCAAGTAACAGTCGAAACCACAAGAGTGGTAGCCAAGTCAACGGCAGCCACTGGAAGAAGCCACAGAATGAGCTGAAAATATGAGAACGCTGTTCCTGTGTTGTGTTGGTGCTGCTGCTGCTGCTGCTGTGTCGGTGTTCGCTTTGACGTTAGTGGGCGCACATTATGGCCGCCAAGTGCCTGCCAGGGACATCATCAGAGCCAGCTATCAGACCCACATGGAGCAGAGCACTCATTGTGGAGGCAGCGACAGAACCACATGGAGCGTTCCTCTAGAAGCAGCGACAGGACAGTACCCACGTGGGGTGGCGTATTAAAATGCAATCGCCCAGCTCCATGGCGGTTGTTGCACGCCAATTTGCCGCAAATGCATACCATAATTGAGTTTTACGTGCTCCAGTGCAGCAAACCTAAAAAACCTGATTGCGTATGGACTCGGTTGTGTTTTCCGCTGCGGGCCATCTCTTCGGATGAACTTTAATTAGACATATGGCAGACGGCAATTGAATTTTATGGCAGAACAGAACAACAGAAATAATGGCCATTCGAAAAGATACAGATACCAGTATAGCCACATTTGATTGTCCCAAAGTAAGTAACAGATTTCATTGGATTCGGGAGGTATGTGCGAAATCTATACAAATGAAGTCATTGCCATGCCAGGCACTATTACAATCGACAGATACGACAATAATCGTACCCGTATTTAGGAGTATTGGGATGGATATGTTTTCGCCTTTTGTATTGGCCTTGTATTTATTTTGCGTATGCCACACACAGCGGATGTTTTGACTGGCGAAACGTGACACTCACAGACGGTTTGTCCTTCTGTCCGACTGTTTCCTCGCTTTCTCCCTCTCTGGGTGTGCGTGGATGTCGCCACTCCAATAGCAATGACTGTTTCCCCCAGCGTCACACACATATGCAGAATGGAATGGCTGTCAAACACGCAGGACGCTTAAACTAACGCCACAGCCTCTGCCTGGGCTCTGTCTCTGGCTGTGTGTGTTTGTGCGTGAGTGGTTTTTGGGGCAGGTTAATTTGGGAAATGTGCAAAACACCCAACGGGCAGGTGGCAGTGGCGGGTATCCCACCATTGTGGGTACCACCAGCACCCACCTCTTGGGGCCTAGATAATTGCCATGAGTTGGCATTTCGGGTAGCATCATTTTGTGAAATGAATTGGAACTGGAGGCAATTGCTTATGACTTTGTTTGCCTGAGTGGCTGTCTGTTTAAGCAATCAACACATGGACTCTGACACTAACGTATTGTGATTGGAGATAGATCTGAACACCAACGAAGAGGAATCTGCCCATAGGATACCCTTCTGATATGCAAATCCTGTCGTTTATCTTTTGCCTTTCGCCTCTCACTCGCGATATGAAGATAAAAGTGTTAAGCGTGCACGTGTCCAAACAATGACCACATTTCAGCCTCGAATAATGTAAATTTGTCCGTGTATTAAATAGTCAAAAATATGCACACCCATCGGGGCTGTGGGGTTGCTATGGGGTTTGTTGTTCTGTGCCACACTTGCCACAGATTGAAACGAAGCGTCAAAGCTGTTGACCCGCCTGCACATGCAAATTAGAGGGCGGAACAGCAGGCGAACTCCGATGGATATGCACAAATTGGGTCAACAGTTATTAAATACGTTTCATTTAGAGCATTTAAGCCCCTGGCGGCATTAAACAAATTAAATTCCTGACTGCCTGGAATGTCGCCTTGCACTCCCTTTTGCATATCAAAGGGTTGGCTCGGTCATCTGGGTCTGTCGTCCTTCGTCAATCGTTCATTGTGCATAGGTCATAAATATTTTATGAGTTGCTTGAATACCGGACATGCCCATA